TAATCAATTAAGCATTATCAAACAAAATATGCTAATTAATTTTATATTTAAATTTTTTTTATATTGATTTAAGGCTCACTTAAGTATATAAATTAATAGAGTAAAGCTTAATTTTTAATTAGTGGTTTAACTGGAAATGAGTTTATTATCACTGTGAAAAAAAAGAGTTGAATCTACTTTTTTTTGTTATAGACTTATCTGATTATTATTTACATTCTTGTTATGAATCTTCAAAATTACAGTGAGGATTACTCAATTTAAAAGCATTATTTGTTTCTAAGTTCAGTAATTATTTATTGGGTTGTCTTATTTAATTTTTTATACATATTAGTTTATACATATAATTATTATCTAAATTATACAGATTAATATAACTAATTCATATAGCATAGAGCATAAAAAATCTCTATTTTTAATATCTGTTTTAATGTATATATTGTAGAGTTAGTATTAGAAAATTATATTGGATTGGTTTGATATATTTTTTAAAAGGTATTTTATACTCTATTCTACATATATTTAAACTCTTACAAAATTCTTGTTTATTTAAATTATAGCATCTCATATTAATATAGTTTTGTTATATTTGGTTGTATATTCGATATTTATTTATCTAAATTTAAAATTATATATATATAACTATTCTGTATAAGTTTTTTAACATTTTCTAAATAATTTTAATTTAATAAGAAATGCAACAGATTATCAAACAAGATTTATATCTAATTTTACTAAATTATATAGAATCTTTCTATTTGACACTAACTTGACTTTATAGTATATTAATTTTGCCTATTTTATATAGTGCTTAAGACTACTAATTAACACTATATATTTATTATATATTTAACAATTATTTACTAACAAGTTGATTTTACAAATAATTATTTAGATGTTCTATAGAATAGGTAGACAATATAAAAAATAAACTCTGCTAATAATTAGTAATCATTAATAAATATTTAACAGAGTTGCAGAGTTTGCAGAGTTTGCTCATCTATTCTATAGAACATCCAATTATTTTACTACTAACAATTAATTAACTTATATCAGCAAATTTAAAAGGGTAAAATATTTTAAAATAATTTACAAACTGTAAAAAAGCCATAATATTATGTAAGAAATTTCGAAATATTGTGAAATATCAAAATTATAAAATATTACATAAGATATTTTATAATATTTCGAAATTTATTACATAATATTATAGCTTATTTACATTAAATAAAAAATTTCAAAATATTTCGCATATGTGCAAATAAGGCTACAAATTTGGTTTTCATATTGCCAACTAATAGAGTTCGAATCAAGCCCGAATATGACTTTAAGTTTGGTTTGAGTTTGGCCTGAAGTTTGCAAACATGTTTGGGTTTGATGTGCTGTATATTGGCAGTATAAATTTACAATAGCCGGTAAGAATTTTTTACAGTAAATTATTAAAGAAATCAAGTACAAAACTAATATAATCATAAAGATAGCTGCACAGCATGTGATGCCAGACAGAACCAGTATGATCTCTTGTATATATTATAGTCTAAGAAGTATTTGTATAATAATAAGTAGTCATACAATATTGTCACACTACACCAGGAACGAATAACAACTCTAATACAGAATAGTTATATAATAAGTTATAGTTTTGAATTTAGATAAATAAATATCAGGTATAAAAGTAGATACAGCATAACTATAATGAAATGAGACACTATAATTTAAATATACAAACTCTTGATACAAGAAACTCTTGACATAAGATTTTACTAGTCTCAATTGAAAATTTTATTAAAAAATCTTGATATAAAAAAAATCACAATATAAGAAATACTTTGGCTGGGTCGGTAACTTTTTTATAGTTGTATTCATTATTTTTTATCATTAATATGTAAAAAACAGATAGCAATCTACTACAATTTTTCAATGCTAATTTTAATAATATATAATCTAAAACAGATATTAAAAATAGGTGTATTTCACACTCTATATCATACAGGTCCATTCATAATAATCTGAATAATTTAAAAATGATCTTGGCAGATGATAATTATTTAGATTAACACAAGTTGAATTAATGAATATCGGGTGCAAGTTTACTGATAGTTTGCTATAGGTTTGCCAAATACCTGCTGAATATGTATTAGCCAAAACATTGGAAGGTAGATTAATATTAGTAACATAATAGCATAATATTGGAATTCCCAGATATCTAATTTTTAGCACTCTGGGTTTAAAAATAAGATATCAGGATATCCCAATACTTTGCTGTTATGTTGCCAATATCTTATATTTTACCAATATGCTGCCAAAATGCTGCTGATATAATCTATGACAGACTATCAGAAAACTTGTCTTTTGGTATGCACCTGATGTTCATTAATTTAATTTGTATAATATAAATAAGAAGCTAAATGAGATGTGAATAGCTTATATTAAATACTTAGACCAATTGGACCAATAAATAATTACTAAACTTAGACCAAGAGTGTTTAGTGCGATTAAATAGCTATCAAGATCATTTATAAGTACTTAAAGCAGTCCTATTGTAATTTTGCTGAAGTTTTGACAAAGAAGATGGCTTCAATCTTTTATCATGATAATGAATCTACTTACAGGTTAAAGTACTTTTTACTAATTAAAAATTGAGTTCTGACCTATAATTTATATGCTTGAGACAACCTTAAATCATATAAATAAAAATTGAAATAAGAAATTAATTATTATAATCTCTATTCTGATGACTATAATATATTAAGGTAATATTAAACTTAAGATAGAGTTAGTTTTTATTAGAATTGTTATGATTTATCTGTAATTGAGTTGGTTTGTATAAGAATACATCAGAGTTATTATGTAAAAAATTCTGTTATTTTGAAAACCTCAATATATGGTTAAATTTAGCTTGCTCCAAAATTATAATTTTTATATCACGAATTCTATGTAGTATATACCAAATACCTGCTAAATATTAGCAGCATATTGGTAAAATAGATTGATATTAGCAACATTATAGCAAAATATTGGTATATTCTAATATTTTACTTTTAGACCCAAAGTGCTAAGAGTAAGATATCAAGATATCTCAATATTGTGCTGTTATATTACCGATATTAATCTACCTCCTGCTGCTAATATTCAGCAAATCTATAGCATCGACTATATATCAAATAACTTGTCTTCTAGTTTGCAAATTTATTGATTTATCCTTACATATTGAAGTTATCGTAGTTGTAGTTACTATAAAAAAAATTCATAGAAATTTATTAATGATTATTTAAAACTTGCAAAATATTTCTTCATAATATTTCACAATATTTCAAAATAAGTTGGCCTAATATAAACTTTGCAAATATCTTGTTTTATAATATTTTACAATATTTTAAAATATTTCAAAAATTTTATATTTATTTCCAAACATTCATTTGATTTTAAATAACACTATTTATAACTTTATACACATACACTTTCTTTGATTGAATTATTAGCCTGTAAATATAAGCTTTATTTTATTTTTTATTTTTTATTTTTTTTGGTATTAAGATGAGGCCTTGCTCATATCTTTATTGATTAATTTATATAAGTAATTACATATTGACTATATAAAGACTTAATTTGTATAATAAATAAATATAAATTATATACAAAAATAAAAGCTCAGACTAAAAGCTTAAACTAAAAGCTCAAACTAATTATCTGCAACCTAAACCTACTAGAGAAGTCAAGACTTACCTAGGTTTAAATTGTTAGGATTTGGTTAATAGGTGTATTATATTTGATCCACATAGTAAACCATATATTAATTTTAAGAGCAGCTTGTCCTAGAGGAGTACAAGTATTGGTTTCAGAATGTAGTTGGTCAGCAGAGCTGCAAGAACAACTGTAAGTGTAATTAGTTTTGTTTCTTTTGTTGGTTGGGCATAGAGAGGATTGTAGTAGAGTATTATAGTTAGAATAGGAAGGAATTTGGCAAGATTTTTTCCAGTTAGAGAAATTGGTACAGTATAGAATCCAGATATTGTCATATAGTTAATTAGAGATTTTAAGAAGTAACTGAATAATAAGTTGGAAGGCATTGGAGTATGAGATTTCAAATAGATCTAGAGATTGAATTAAAGATATGGATATGAGGCCTTTAAGTGTAGAATTGAGAGAAAAAGAGTATAGTTAAGATGGTTGGGGATTAAAGGCAGGGTATAAAAAAATAGTATATATAAGATTGTTTAGCTGGTGAGAAGAAAGATTGAGGTTGGCATTAGTGAAAGTGTTATGTATTGAGGTGTTGATATTTTATTTGTTTTTAAATTTGAATTCTTTAAATATGTTTAATAATTTTTATTTATTAAAATTTTGTATTATCATAATAAATTCAAAATATTTTGCATTACCCTAAAAATATGTTACATATCATTATCCAATTACAATTTAAGTTCAGTGATCATTTGCCTCGGTCATGGAATATATAAGCAATAATCATAATAATTTTTTTTATTCTTTTTACTTTTTTATACATATACATTTAACCCTATTTTTTTTTTTCTCCAGGTTATTTATTCAGGCTATAAATATTGTCGCTCTTGGAGTCACTAAAGTTGAAATTGTTATCACAGTAGTTGGAGTAATTACTGGTGGATTTTATTGCTTTTGGTGCTATTTATCATGTAGCTTGAAGGTACTTCAAGCCTTTCATTCTGTTCCTTGTTCATTTTGGTCTTGTAAATTTTAAGAGTATAAACTTTAGTCTATTGTTTTATTATGTTTTGGTTTTGAGTATGTTTACTAACTTTTTTTTTTAGAAATTTAAAGCTACTTTGAGCTTTCGTCCAATTCTTAGAGTATTTCTGAAAGTATAGCTTTTTTGGATATTAGGTTTATATGTTTCTCTTTTCTTTTTTAGTTTGGTTTTGTTTCTAATATTTTCTTTATTGTTTTTTGTTTTTCTGGTATTATATTTGTCATTAGTGTCATCATTATTAAAGTAATAAATACTTCTGTTGTTGGTGACATTATTATTGGAATGGTGAATTACTTTCATCATTAGTGTTATCGTATTGGAGTTTTGTATTACTTTTGCCATTCATTGTAGATGTAGTTGTTATTGGAGTGGTGAAATATTTAGTCGTTGATGTTGTTGTTATCATTAGTAGTCGCTGTAAGGAATCTAGATTCATTACTTTTGCAATTATCTCTTTTTTGGTTTAGTTTAGTTTTACTTTTTTTCTTGCTTTTTACTAACTTATTTGTTGTTTTTTTGGTATTACTTTACTGAAATACAAAAAATCGTAACTATATAGTAACTATATAGATACTATATATATTTTAAAATTGTAGTAGGCGTATTGCTATTTTGAAGTAAACATTGTATAAAAATATAAAATCTTTATAATTGCTATATAAATAATTTTATATTTATACAATAATACTATATAATAATTTTAATATAACTATATAATAAATATGTATTTAAATAATAGTAAATAAGGGTTTGGGCTCTATAGCTTAGTGGTTAAGCTGCCAAACCCCCACAGTATAAGCTAAGGTCCACGGTTCGATT